ACTTCCACCATCCCAGGCTGTTCTCAGCCCTGTCCAGCCTGGCCTTGGGCACTGCCAGGGACCCAGGGGCAGCCCCAGCTGCTCTGGGCACCTGTGCCAGGGCTGCCCACCCTGCTAGCCAGGAATTCCTTCCCAGTCTCCCAGGTAAATCCCACCTCCACACACAGGTGAGGCTCCCTGGTCTGCAGTTCCCAGGATTTTCCTTTCTTCCCCTTCTGAAAGCAGGAATGATGTTTTCCCATCCTCGTGGCTCCTGGAAAACTGCTTTTTAGGCTTCATTTTACAAGGACTTTGAGGTTCCTACAGACACCCTGCAAGGAGCCACATCCAGGATTTCATTTTCTCTTGGATAAATCCATCTGGAAGCGACCGAGTGTGGGCGGGATGAGACAACTCCAGCTTAGTCCAATATTTGACCGAGGCAATTGAATAATTTCATTCTTTAATATCTGGGAATCTGTTCCTTGAGATCTGGGGGAGGCTGGGGGAGATGCAGGAGTGGGAATCCCAGGCAGAGGCAGCACTGAGAGGTCGCTGGAGATCTCCACAAGGTTCCCACACGAAGGAGCTCCGGGGAGGAGGATGGAGCAGAGGGAGCCAGCTCAGCCTTGCTCGACTTTGGGCTCCGAGCACAATGCACCACGTGCTTGAAATCCTTGGAATTGCCTCTGGAAAAGTGGATTTTTGGCAATGTTAGGGAAAGACCCCTTGAGGAATTTGTGCCCGAAGAGCATCATTAACCCCAGTGATGCCACCTGGATGCAGGTTTGGGGTTGGAATTGTGGATGAAAAAATTCCCATCGAGGAGCTGCTGGAACGGGCTGTTTGGAGTTTGTGCTGGCAGCTGGGTTTATTCATACAAAATATAAAACGTAGAATCTATAAAATTAAAGCTATAAAATAGAATCTATGAAATATAAAGTATGATATATATAATATATTATATATAACTTATAATATATAATATACTATATATACTATATACTATATAAGTATATATGTTATATACTTATAATATAGAATATACTATATACTTATAATATAGAATATATTATATATAGAATATACTATGTATACTATATATAGTATATATATTATAGTGTAATATATATACTATATATACAATATAGTATATATTATGTTATATATTATGTTATATATAATATATAATATATAATATATAATATATAATATATTATATATTATATATTATATATTATATATTATATATTATATATATTATATATTATGTATATTATATACTATATATTCTATCGTATTTATTTTATCTAATGTATTATATATACTATATTATATACTATATATTATAGAGAATAGAAAATAAATAGAAAACATGAAATAAAATGCATTTTAAGCCACAGAAGCAGACCCTATATGGATGTCATTCCTTGCGCGGCGCACTCCCGCCCCGCCGTTCCCGTCGGGAGCCGCGCGGCTCCGGCGCCGCCGGTAAATCCGCATTTCCCATTCCCACGGCTGCGGATCCAGCCGCGCCAGAGGTTTCTCCTCTCGCTGCCCGCTCCCGCTCCGGCTCTTCCCATTTTTCCCCTCCTCTCTCGGAGGTTTTCCTGGTGCCTGCAGAGCGAGCTCAGCTCGGCGCGCCGCTCCCGTCTCCCGCTGCTCCACGGGCGGAGGAGCCGCGCTCCTGCCTCCTTTTCCCGGGAAACTTCAGCATGCGGCTGGTAAGGGACTGAATTCCCAAAAAAGCGGCCCCGGCTCCCCGCGCTGCGGGAGCCCCGGGATGGAGCAGCTCCCCCGGGAATGTTCGGGGAAGGGATGGGGGGTGAGGGCTGCCCGGCGGGACGCGGATGTGGCATCGCCGGGGATGCGCAGGAATATTTCCGTAGGGAATCTGGGATCTGGCGGCACTTTTGCCTCGGGAGAAAGCGGCTGGAGCGACCTGACGTGCTGTAAGTTTATTACGGGGATTTAAGGCTGGGTCCCGTGCTCGGGAAGGAGGGAATCATCTCCGGTTGATAACAATTCCAAACAGCGCTTGGAAAAGACGCCTGAGGATTCCCAGGGATTTCCCAGGGCTGCTGTGGCAGGATTTCCCTGCATTTCGCAGCCTTTTTTTTCTTTTGGCTGTGCAATTAATGGGGGGCAAACCTTGGCTGTGCTTCCCGTGGGGAGCAGCGCTCGGCATTCCGCAGGGATTTCGGCTCCGAGCGGATCCACGCGGGGCTCCTGGAGCCCAGAGCTCCGCTGGCTGTCAACACGGGAAAGCTCCCGCCGAAGTCATCCCGGGAATGCTGCGGGGCCAGTCCGGGCTCTGGGATAATCCCCGGTGCCGGATTGATTGTGGCGTTTTGTCGGAGTAGCTGTAGCAGGGCTGGCTGGGCTGGGCATCCAGGATCTTCCCAGCACGTTGGAGCAGAGATTCCAGCAGGAGCAGCTTCCACAGGGTGGTTCCTTCCATCCCAAACTCCATCCCGTCTGCACTGGGCACAGACATCCCACGAGGCTTTCCCAAACCTCATTCCCA